CTGTTTGGGCGGGCCGGGGAGAGGGCGTGTTTTTTTGCTGTTTGGGGGGGGTGCGTGTTTATGCTTTTGCTGTTTGGGCAGGGGGCGTGATTATTTTTGTTGCTGTTTGGGCGGGGGACGGGAGTTCAGTCACTTGCCGGTCTGCCTAGCTCGTCTGTACGGGGCCGAACAAAAGAGACCAAACAGCAAAAAAAAACACGTGTTCCTCTCCTGGTAACTGCTCCTTGGTTCTTTGCCTACATACGTTACATAAGGCTTGGGGGGTTGCAGTCCAGACTACTGCACCTCCCTCCTACTCTTCTTTCTCTGTTCCAGAATGTCATGTTCTCTCACGTGCAGGTCTTATAAGCTCTCGCAGCATACTGTGAATAAACATAAAAAACTTAGCGAATAGAGAATTGTAGGCAACCCGTAGTTGTCTAATGAGTTCACTTTTACATCATAAGAACTCGTTCACCACGACCGATGTTGCTATTGATTCTGGTTTGTTGTTTAGATAGGCATCCCGGGAAAAGCCCGACAGGGCATGTCAAATTTGGCATGGTTTCCATCAGAAAGCAAAGAAAAATCACCATCAGAACCTTCACCCCCGTAGATTTCAATATTCATATCAAATGCGTTCGTCAAGCACTTTGAGGTTTTTTGCCTAGTTTGCCAATACCATCCAACACCTTTGCAAGGCCTTGAGCAGTTCTTTCTGATCTTCCGTGAAAGCGGCAACTGCATGAAGGACTGGGGCGTGCAGGCACTGCCTGCCCTTGCAGAATGCCTATGCCTACGCCCCAGAAAATTCCGTCATTGCAGCTGATGTGGCAGACTGCTAAGGGCGGCTTGCAAGAATGGCAAATTTGGAATGCTCCAATGCTGCGCAGAAAATATGTGCAAAGTGCAAGAAAGAACATTGCTCCATGGAATGGCACCCACCCCATGCCATCATCAGGGCGGATGCGATCCTTTTTTGCGATTACAGTGCGCTCCACGCGTGATCCCTTGTATGCAGCCTCACAGAGTGTGGTTTGTGGTGCGAAGCACTCGTCTGTAGGGAAAAAACTTGCCTCGGAGGGGTCCCTGACATAAAACGTATCGGGATCCGCGTTTTTCAAAGATTTGTGACTTTTTTAATATCGTTCATCACGAAATCAAATCATTTTAGCATAAGATGATTTTTTGTCGTTGCACCAGTCAGTTACATACTGTGCCTTTTGTTTTTTTCATGTTTTGTTCAGTTGATCACCTAAAACGTTCGGCAAAGATTACAAATGCAATCAACAAATATTGCTATTTTGTTTGAACATCAGATAGGTTTACAACCATGAAAGTTGGCACATTTGCAGTGTTCTGCATTGCCCAGATTTGATGTGGATTTATCCGGCCTTGCTGTGCAAACCGATCCATGCCAGCGCATTCTTGGAGACGCGAAACATTGCAACCCAGGGAATGTCAAATGTGGCAGGAGGCAAGGTCCAGCTGTATCTGTACGTAGCGAAATGCTCCAGAGAAGCATGCAAACTTGAGCACGGCACAAGTTTCTGAATGCCTGGCTCGGACCATATGCGCACCACGGTTGCTTATGACTCATGAGCAAAGCTTGTGCAAAACCAACAACATGCATGCGTCTGTTGCAATGTGTCACAACGCTTTTCGCCTTGCCATGAACTCTTCTAGGAATGCGTAAGCGCAAGCGATTTACCTGCGCTAGGTGATGTTCCACCTGCCGTCTGTCTCAAAGTGTCACAGACGACGGTCCTGCAGGGATGAACCAAAGCATGTCCACAGGGTAAAGAGTAATAAAGATACTAAAGTTCGCACCATGTGATGTGGGCAAGAATCGAAGGACCGGTGCCTGTTGTGTTGTCGTCCACGTCCTCCAAATGCATAATACCCTATCTACGACATGCAAAAGACACCAAAGGAAAGACTGGGCACACAGTGTCAGAATGCAGGCACCAATGACAATGAGAAGACTGCTGATGACATCTGAATCTAATGACCACACAACATCCATGCGCAAACGACAACAACCAGTTCCACCATGAAGGCCCAGCCGACAATGTACCTGACCACCATGACAACCACGACCACGATGACCAAACAACCAGCACAACAGCACAACGACCACTGTGACCACTGCGAACACAACCACCTGCATGACGAGGACGAGACAGCCACATCAAGAACAAGAAGTAATGGGGTCTCTCTAAGGCTGCGAACCTCAGCACGGCCCAGGATGATCGGCACAGGCATTTGGTCGGACTCAGGGCGAATGCAGGTACAGAAGCTGCTGTTTGCCAAAACATGTCACAACGCATATGCAGGTGCAAGCTCACACAGACTCACATGCAATAGCCACGTTTCTCTCCGCCGTATGCCTGTGTACAAAGCTGAGGGACCTACCCGCTCCTCTGCAGAACTCTTGTTGAAGACAGGAGACTGGCCTTCCTGGTGCAATTTCAAAATGAACTTCTTGTGACATCATTCCCACCAAGGCTCATGCGTTTGCATTGCGCTGACTGGCATCGCTCCCAGTCACCGCAGTCGGCCGAAGATTTGTGACTTTTTCCAAGCCTCATGCTTCACATCATCCTACCAGGTATGACTGGCTGGACACCTGCAGATTGAAAACAGAATGATGATCAGGCCGGCTACCACTACATCAAGTATGATCAATGTAGATGTTGCGGCTAAATACTCGAAATCTGTCAGTCGGGCAACTCACTGTGGCACTGCAATGTGAGCGACCTGACTGAATGCCACAAATCCTAGTTCAACGATGCTCTTGCAATATTATTCTCAGTCTTGGTGCCTTCTGCTTTTCCCTAATAAGTTACATTCGTGGGTGAAAGCCCACTTCAGAATTTGATCCATCATTTTCCGTAAATTGTACAACTATTCGAACACAGCTGGCTCCATCACCTTTTCCTTTCTGGTCGGCCTTTGCTTCATTTTTCCAAGGACACGCTATTGCCTTCCACGATTCTGTGATCGTTTTCTCTTGCTCCGTCCAAACTGCATGCTGCCAAACAAGTGTGAAGGACACATTTCTGGCGACAAAAGGAGGTCGCCCCGCCCCCCTCCACGAACATGTGTGCATGCTCATCAAGTTGTGGTCTAGTTGCGACACAGACTGGGACGGGGAACTCCCTCCAACAACCAACCACTGTTCTTGCTTAGCTCAGCCTCAGAGAAAATTGGTTTCTGTCTTTCAGTGAACTTAGCATTCCTGCGGCATATACCTGCTAAGCATGCCTAGCCTTTGAGCAACACACTGAAATAAGATGCCAGTCCGACCTTGCAAGCTCTTGCACAAAGCCTAATTGCACATGGATGGAAGCATTCGCTCCCCCTTTCACCTTCAGGACAACATCAAGTTTCCTCGACAGCAGGCCGGTTGGATGAAATATGTTTTGCATTCGAGTATGTATGACCCAGCATGCAAGACATGCAAGAACATTGAGAAACTACGGACCTGTTGACCTCACTGTCTGTAAACGTGCTTGGCAAAGCAGCGGGAGGGGGGGTCACACCACCCCCGCCCCAGCTCCTTACTCATATGCGTACGGAGGAAAGCGTGCGTCTGGTGAGTGTTTGGTTACCTGATTGATTGTTTTCTGCAGCGTTCATTCATTAGGGGGCGCAGGGGGGGGGCACATTCGTTACTCCCCCGCGGCCTGCCTGCGTTGCCCGCCCGTGGGTACAGCCGCTTAAATAATCAAGCAAAGCTTACGACACAGGTTGCAGCTGGCTTCACCTGCTTGCTGTCCGCACATGCTTAGATCCTTCTGATGGCAGCATAAAGCTTCCTTGCTCCTCCCTCCGGGGTCACCTCCGAGAATCTTTAGCATAGCTGAGAGGCTCCATGTGCCAACAATCAAATGCAACAGAACGAAAAACACTTGATGTTGTGCTTTCCATGCTGCCTCCGTACAGTACGAATGCCACCCAGTCATGATGTCATGGCATGGTAACCACAAAAATGGAAGATGTACAGTAGCTACCTAACCAGACCTGGCTAATTGCATGCCTTGCTTGAGCCATTTGATTTCAATTCATCTGGTGGCTGCAAATAATTCAGTAGAAGCTCAGGTAAGTTGGAGTGAATCGATGGACTTCATTTTCTATGTCACTCAATGATTGGGAAAATGCAAGACGTTCAGACCGGTGATGACAAAGTGCGCGGCGGGAGTCTTCCGGCAACTGGAGGAAGCCAAGCACCTTCGGGATGACCTGCGCGCATGCCATCGAAGAACAAAGAAGCCTGAACATATGCTTGTTCTGACTTAGCTCAGGCAGGCCACCGTGTGAATTGCACATTCCTGCCTACCCCCCTGTCTGCACTGTCAATCTTGACCTGGAAAGCCTCTCATTTCCGGGCCTCTGCGGGCTTGTCACACAGTGCTATGTGGCCAGCTCGGGGGATGACCAAAAGCTTGCCATGCGTGAAATATCCGGCAACCTCTGGACACCAGAAATTCAACGAACAAGAAATATGACAGCCAGCCGCCAACCGAGCCTTTTTCGCGACAGACGCAACAGGATTCAAATTGTCCCGCTCGCCCCAGATCAGCAGCACAGGCCGCGGATGCCTAGCTTAAAGTTCAACAAAATCGCTCCAGATCAGAAACACATGCCATGCCTGCCCACATCTTCAAACAGCTGGGACAAGTCAAACCAGTTGACCTGTGCAGGCATGTCGTGCTGTTTTGAAGATCTTCAACATCTGCAGATCGCTGGGCGTGCCCGTTGGCAAATTGCCAACGTCGCGCTGGCAACCCCTCGCTTGACGAAGAGCTGCCAAACCTTCACTTCTTGCTAACTCGTACACCGCAACCTGCGAAATTAGATTTGAGGGCACAACGAACCGCGACCATAGGTTGTGAACAGATTGATCTTCCATGCCCTGCAAGCATTAAGGCTCACAATCATACAGTCAGTCAGCCCTTGTTCAGCCTGATTTTCTGCACGGACCGACCTCCAGAAATGGAAGGATTTACCCTGCTGAGCCAACTGCAAACCTGAGGGAAGGACCTTGCAAAGCGCTCCTTCTTGTACCAACATGTGCACAAGATGTGAGGAGCCAATGGAATGAGGCAACACCAACATGCCTTGGCAAAGCGGGTGCTTATGTAAAGAAACCATACGAGCCTGTGGTAAACTGCGATGCCATCAGCTGACTGACATCAGCTGGGCCCAGTGCCCGCAAGACATAATACATCGGCGGAACACGAGGTATGAAGCCACAAGGTGATACAGCAATGATGCGGGCGACCTCGGCCACTTGGCAAAGGAAATCTATGCGCGCCGTGAGTCTAGCAAGCAGATGAAATCATCATCACCATCATCATCATCATCGAATCGAGTACCTCACCCGAGCAGGATATCTTCTTGCAAAAGCCATGGCAATAGCACCTGAGCAGGAGGTGCCAGCGCTGCAACGGGTCATACAGCAACATGGTGCGATGCGGCCTCCCAAGCTGAAACCGAACAAATTGACGCGAGCTGAAGCGAGACCTGAGCTTCGACACTGTCAGAACAGCAGCTTGCCATGGATCACTTGGGGCCTGGCCAATATAATCAAGCAAATCTTTTGTTTGCTCCGCGAAGAAATCTAAATCATACCTTGCACTGTTCGTCTGAATCCCTTTGACAGCAAGCCGCCAGCACGCACTCCAACACAATGTAGTGTCCAGTGTGGTGTCCAGTGTGCCCCACCGAAACAATGCGTGCGAAAGCCAAAACCTCGTTTTTGTGATGTTGCCTCCTTGCACGCCATACTGCAGGATGCCAGCACCTTGCGTGCGGCATCAGTACATCGTGAGCGCAGGACAATAAACACATTACTCCCTCAATCTCTTGTGTTGATAGATGCTGGGGTTGCTTGCACGTTCCTTGTGGGCCTGAGCTCTTGGCTGACTAGCGAACGAGGGCAGGACATGCTCGTCTTGTTGCCTGGCACTGCCTAGCTGTGCGCGACGCAAGCATCCACAGGCGATGATAAGTTTCGGTCACATCCTTGACGGACGGATTTGCTTCAAGGCCCATGCTGGGCGGTATGTGTGTTAGGTTGTGCCAAGGAAAACTGTCGTGGCCACTCTGAAGGCCAATCAGCCAACACATCTGGTGGACGATGGATTGCAAGGGATACTGCGCACATCCGCAACAACAGACATTCACGGAGCCAAACCGAATGTGAAGTTCCCTAGTGACCTAGTGCCCAGCCTTCCAGCCTCCTTATGTTGTTTTCAAATGTGATTCCCTATGACATGAAATTTCAGCACAGGCAGCCAGTTTTGCGTTTTTTTCCTGGCAGGTTGCGTTTCCTCCTCAGCCCACCTACATTGTTGCTGACGTCTCCCGCCTGTCAGCAAGGCTTGCATTGTTGCTGCTCAGGTGTCTACAGTGCGCACTGATTGCACTCGCTGGCCATCGGCAATTGCGGCATGGATCCCTGTGCAAGTGGGGCAGTGACGGAAAGGACAGGGCTGACGCGATTACGCTGGCAGCAATGACAAAACGAACAAGATTCAAACCATATCCTTCCACTTGGCTTGACACCGCATGTAAAGCTACACCCCTGGAGGCTTTGGCAAAATTCTGGAAGTTGTGGCGGGAAGTGCTAGGCAACTCTTGAAGGGTTTGCTGGCATGCCAGTCCGTTTTGTCAATGGTCTTTCCATCAGGTACTCCTCGGCTATGTATGTGACAAGCTTGCCAAGGCCTGCTTCAAGCACGTTTGGAGATCCGAAACTCAGGCCAGAAGTTGCCTGCTTCTTTCTAATGACGCTCAAGGCCTCCGGCTCAAGCCACATTTGCACCATCAACTTGCTGCCAATGATTCAATGATACATGACAGTCCAAAAACACTCCTATTAACAAGCCCGCTGTAGAAAAAATGTTCAAATCACCTGCTATGTATCTGCTTGGCAACTCAAATCCTTGAAGCCATGTGGCTCCTTTGACTCTGCAAACGGAAATTCGAACAAACAGAAAATACGAGACTTCTTCTTCCAAGCTGCCGGGCTCGGACACCACTGCAGGACAAACAGCCTGGTCTGCAACTCGACGAACAAGACCGCCTGGGACACAAGTCCTGGGATCGTGGGCAATGGCAAAAGCCAGAGAGGGCTGGAGCCCGCTAAAATACATCCAACATGAAATCACAACCAAGTTTCCACCGGTGGTGCGTTGCTCAGCCCGTGCCCGTATAAATCCTTGCATGTCACAGCAAATGCGGGATTCATCAACCAGGAAACAGCGCTTGCATGCAAGTTTCAAAAGTGAGAACTCGAAATCCACCGTATCGTGAAAGGTACACCGCGGTGTCCTTCACGATTCGTACACATTGGAACCATCTTTTTCCCCGATTCTTGCGCCCGCCTGAAACAATAAGCGGGATCCGTTGAGGCCGTGGAAGCACACAACAACCTAGCCAGCGGCAATGATAAAAATTGCGCCTACAACGCACAACGCTCTACATAGATAAGCCTCGCCATCCTCTGGTCCCAGCAATGAGTAATTCACAACACCATAAAGAAGGTGTGCGGTTGATGCCTCGCATATGTTACTGCAGACGCTCGCTCGTTTGCATGATGTGAACTAAATGGCAGTGGGCGCGCTGTTGGGTATGGGCACTTCACAGTTCGAAAGCATCGCGGGACCTGACAAGTTGGGACACCATGGGTCCCAACTATGCTTCCAACAATGCCAACCTGAGTTTCAGATCTGCACCGCATTCCACCAGTGTGCACCTGGATCAATGACTTCAAGTCTACATCCCAAAGCAATGTTAAACGCATGCTCCGAACCCACCCATTATAATCCTCGAATATTGAAAGCCACAAACGAAGAGTAAAAGCAGGCCTGATTGTCGCGAGATGTTGATGCAGGCTTCGCATTTCCCATGATCAGCGCACGCTGCGCCACAGCGCATCTGCAATCGTTTGCGGATAGTCTGATCAGCCCCTACGACTCGTTGCATGTTCACGTGCATCTTTCCGTGTTATGTGTTGTTGCTATAAAATCCGTTGGCCAAATTGATTTGCCAAGCAATACGTGAACAGCTATCCTAACCAGTCCCAACCAACACGGCAACGTACCAAGGAGTTGCCGGTGGAAATGCGGCATACAACGGTGGTCTGTGAATTGGAGGACAACACATGACCCCCGCAACGGCACCATAGCAACGCACTGCGCATATACAACTTCCAAGCATGCAAACATACGCACATGTGTTTACACACATGCATGAGGAGGAAAAAGGGTGTCGTCTAAGTCTAACTCTTATTTAATCATAAGGTCCTTCGTGTGCAAGCTGTTTGATGCTTTTTATGCCCAAAATAGAAACATGGCCAGACGCACGCGAAATCTTGGAACAAATCATGCCATGCAGCTGGCGCTGCGCCGGCGCTTGCGCCTCCCACTGCACCTTTAGCTCGCGACGCTGTTAGCACGCAGGGCTAAGATCTTGGAACGGGCGTGGGTGCGGGTGGCCAGAGAGGCAATAGGCGCGGATGGGCAAGTGGTGCCCCAGCAATGGCTGGCGCACACAACTGCGCCCAATGTTGACCCAGCCGACAGGCGCAGACTGGATCTGGTGATTTATGGCGCCAAGCCATTGGTCTCCCCGCTGACTCGCACCGCGACAGACGGCGGGCGCAGTGCTCAGGATGGCAGAGCGACGCAAGCGCGCCGCGTACCCGAAGCTCAGCGTGGGAGGCGTGCCTGTGGTCCTGGGCACAGGGGTCGGGGGCCGGTGGAACGAGGGAGCGTTGCGCCTCGTGCGCGATCTGGTCCGGATCAGGGCCCAGTACGCCCCGCCCGCCCTCCGCACTGCTGCCAGGGCCGCCTGGTCGCGAAGGTGGTGGTCCCAATTGGCGATTTCAGTGCAGCAGGCCGTTGCTGCCAAATCATTGGGCAACACGTGGTTGGTGAGCTGATTGCCGCTGCGGTAGACGGCCGCCGACCAAGACACATGCTGCAGACGCAAAAAAGTCCGAGAAATCGTTGTGTCCTATTGGCTGCATTTTTGCGCCGCCATGAACGTGGCTTGGTTGAGCGTCAGCTCGTAAGCGGCAATGTTGTAATTATATCTTATTCATCATCGTCATCATCATAATCATGCAGGCTCTTCGGTCTGAGGCTTCGGCAGCACAATTGCCGCAAGGCTTCACTTGTCATGCCCATAGAGGGACAGCGTTGCGGGAATGATTCCAGAACGGGCGGGGGGCAAACCCTGGGGACGGTTTTTTCTTCCTATTTGGAGCGTTGCTTGCAGGCAATCCTGAACTTGTTGATGCAAGAAGCCGAGCGCACAACTAAGATGAAAATTAATGACCAATGCTTGTCTGTGGCCGATCTGCTCAAATGCAGCTCATGGAAATGTATGTACACAAAAAAGGCTGATTTCCAAAACTAAAAACACACACACACACACACACACACACCAACACACACACACCAACACACACACACACATACACAGAGACACACACACGCAGCACCATTGCTGACTCACATTTCATTCGCCAGAAATTCGTTGGATCCTAGATTTTCTTGGGTGCACCTTCACTTCCTCGACAGCCCGCGCCGCTGTCCGAAATTCCGCCCCATTTCAGCAGCGCATTCTGCATAACATAGCATAGCATAGCATAGCATAGCATAGCATAGCATAGCCACAGGTTGTACGCGGAAACATGCCCTTAGGGCCCTAAGGGTCCTAAAAGAATAATTGGGTTTTTAAGGTCCAAATACCATTGATATTGTAGTGTTTGTTTGGGCCCTGAGGCCCTATTATTTGGGCCCTTGGACCCTTAGGGATATACACGCC